TCACAAGTGTGTGCCAGCACACCTGGCACTGACTAGATTTTCAGTCTTCTTCTTCTTTCTTTCTTTTTTTTTTTTTTTTTGCGGAACCAGGGATTGAACTAAACCCCTTGCCCTTGCCAGGGAAGAACTTATTCCACTGAGCCATCTCCCCGGACCCTAGATTTTCAGTCTTGCACAAGTGTATCAGACAAAGTGCACCCAGGAAATGGAGGACTCAGCTGAGGAGATAGCTCAGCAGTCTACGGTCCTGCCTGGAGAGCTCAAGGACCCAGTACCATATGCTGTGTTGGCCCTGGAACCATCCTGCCAGCCACCCCCAAAACCGGGCATGGTGGTGCACGCCTGTAATTCCAGCAATGGGGAGCTAAAACAAAAGGATCACTACAAGTCTGGGCTTCCTACAAGACTCTATACCAGGGGCTGGTGAGATGGCTCAGTGGTCTAAAGCACGTACTTAGAACAAGCTTAGCAAAGCACAGGGACCACGGTTCAATCCTCCAGCACCACATGCCAGCCAGCCCCACCCCCTGGTGGGCTGAGCTGGCCGCGCGCGCACACACACACACACACACACACACACACATAAATAAAATTGAAAAAAAAAAAGACTCTATACCAAATAAATAAACAAATGATTTTGAAAAAAAAAATTTAAAGAAAGGATTCTTTCAAACTACATCATTTCAGGAGTGTTTCTTGACAGGATTCTGTGCCAAGGGGTGGGCTACAGGATGTTGGTGGCCCACACAAGATGGTACATCACCCCAGATCTGGTCACAGTGGGTTCATTCCACCCTACACCTGGGCATGGGGAGAGAATGGTCCTAGGATCTGCAAAGAGGGCTCTCTGGTAGAAGCTGTAGTGATGGCAACACCACAGTGGGGAGAGAAGCTGTGTATACCCGGTCTAGCAGTCCCCCTCGTCTCTTGTGAGTGCTGCCCCTTACCACTAGCCCCACTCTGCAGAAGACCTGGGCAAAGGCTTCAAAAGCCATTGGCCCTGCAGCAGAGCTGAGCAGGGTAGGGAAGGGGTCTGCAGTGGCCACTGAAGCAGCCCAGATGCTCAGTTCCTCCGCTGTACCCTCCGCTCTCCCTCTCCATCCTCCTTTCCTTCTAGGTCATCATGGTAAAAGCAGATAGTGACCATGCAGAAAGTACTCAGCGAACAAATCCATTACCTGTCTGGATTTTTTGTTGTTATTCTATGTTTGTTTTGGAGGGGTACTGGAGGATTGAACTCAGGACCTTGTGCTTGCCAAGCAGGCGCTCATGCTGCTGAGCTATCTCCCCCGCCCACCTGTCTGGATTTTAATGATTAACTAGAATCTAGTTTATCAAAAAGCCTCCCCTGCCCTCCACCTGCCTGCACCGTGCTCCCCCATCACCTCCCAGCTTATTTCACGCATTGCCCTGCTGGTCTTGTGCCTGATCTGGCTTCTCCACCCATGAGCTGCTTGGGTGCCGTCCTTGCCTCAGATACAAGGCCCTGCCCTCCTCGGAGGGTGTGTGGCCACATGGAAGTTTTTCCTCTTTGGCACCAGCATGTTCTTCCTCAGAGCCTAGCTATAGATGTCCAAGCCTACTGAAAGCTCCTTTTCTGCCTTTGTCCCTGGTGTTGCCTTCTTATTCTTTAATCTCAGTTTAAACATGTTAGCATCAGAGAGGCCCTCCCCATCCACCTCATCAAAAACACATGCCCAGCCAGACACAGTGGTGATCCTACGACTCTTGAATTCCAAATGCAAGCCCAGCATGGGCAATTTAGTGACTTAAAAAGAACTTTCTCAAAATTAGTAAAAGGGCTGGGGATGTAGCTCAGTCACAAAAGCACCTGCCTGTCAAGTACAAAGTCCTGAGTTTAATTCCCAGTACAAAAGAAAACGGGGGTCTGCCTCTTAGCTCAGTTCTTTAAGAACCTGCTTAAACAATCAGTCAGCTCAGGTTGCTGTGATTCAATCCCGGAACTCAAGCCAGCCCAAAAAAAAAAAAAAAAAATCCAGTACAAAAGAAAAAAAAAATCAAATTTAAGAGGATAAAAATGGCCCTGGTTTCAATACTCAGTACTATAGTTTATTTATTTATTTTTTATTTTTTAAAAGCAGGGTCTCACTATGCAGTTCAGGCTGGCCTTGAGCTCACTTTGTAGCCCAGGCTGGTCTTGAACTTGCAATGATCCTTCCACTTCAGCCTCCCAAGTGCTGGGATTACAGGCATGTGCCACCACTCCTGGCCATAATTTAAGACATTTCTTTCCTCCCCCATTGGCCCACTTGTTCCAAAACCATGATTCCTGCCTCAATAGCACTTGCAAAGTGTAATTATACATTTATTTCCTTGATACTTTGTTATAGTGTCTCTCCCTACTATACTACTGTAAAATAGGGGATGGAGAGATAGCTCAGTGGCATAAGCACCTGCCTGGTAAGCCCAAGGTCCTGGTTTGATCCCCATTACCAAAATCAAAGGGCCAGCCAAATAGCTCAGCCGATTAAAGTGCCTGCAAGCAGGCACAGGAGCTGGGGGTTCAATTCCTGAGCTTGTCATGCCAGCCCCACCCCCAGGACACGCTGAAATGGCAATTGAGACT